ACAGATATGGCAAGAAGTAATAAAAAGATGGGAAAAAGACGCGGTAAAGGCATGGGTGAATAATCCCTTTGAATCAACTGATATGTGGAAATATATGGAAACACTCTTAGGAGATTCAGTTTTAATATATATTTAACTTTTAAAGGAAAGTATAAAAAGACAATTAGATAGCTTAAAGGACTAAAAGATAACCCATGAAATTTTACTAGTTTTATAAAAGAAATGATTATAGGATACGACCCTTCTAGAAGAAATGATTATACTCAAAGCATAGCATTAACTGAGTTAAATCAGATAACATTAAAAAGTTGGAAATATGTTGTACCCTTTAGCAAAGAATATATAGCCATAGCAGCCAGAACTGGAAAAAGTTTTGATGAAGAAATAGGAAATAAATATTTTAGGAAATTACCAGGAGAACTAGAAAGAGAGATAGAAAATAAATGATCAATTTATTATGCCAACTTACCAGCAAGAATAGCATTAGGAGAAGTAAATATAAAAGGAGCTTTAGGAATAGGACCTAGAATAGTTTTTACATTTCAAAGGCTTAGAGAAAAATGTATAGAAGTCAAAATAAAGAAATATTTGAAAAAACAAAACTATAGTTTTTGTAGCAGCATAATATATACTCCTCAACAATATGAAAATAAATATAATAAGAAAAAATATAAAAATATATGGAAAATATAGAAAGGAAAAATATTGGAAGAGAAAATATAGAAAACCATGGAGAAAATAAAAATTCATTAGAAATAGTAGAACTTTTAATAGAATAAATTATAAGCGACCACCTAAAGAAGAGAAAGATAAAAGAAAACAGAGATATGTTAGAAAACCTAGTAATAAAAAATGCAATTGTTTTATATGTAGAAAACCCAATCATTTTACAAAAAAACTACCTAAAAAGACAGAAGCCAAATACTAATAAATAGAAAAAAAGACCACATATTATAGAAGATTTAGAAGAATATATAGTTAGCATAAACAGTGATGATTCAGAGATCTATAGCAGAGTTAGTGATTATGGATACCAAATAGAAGCCATATGTTCAAATAGTGATTCAGAAAGTGATACAGACATAGGCAATCTTTTAAGACAACTTAACCAAGAAATAGGAATATCCCCTTCCCATGATAATTTCTTTATGATGGAATGCAATGCAAATACTGAATGTTAGCATAGTTTTCAGATAGGGTTAGGATTTGATACCACTGGATGCAGTTATTATAATTGGTTTCCTACTAAAAGTAAGAGAGCTTAATGTTTATTATGTAGTATAACCTATTGTATAGTTTGTCTAGAAAAATTAAATATGGCACACAAGATAACATTAGAAAGTAATGATGAAATGTGAGAAGATCATAGAATAGAAAGCAAAGAATTACATCTAACAATTAGAGAATTAGAAATACAAGTAAGAGAACTTAAACTACAAATACGTGAGATAGAAACTAAGGCTAATTTTGACATAGGATGTTTAGAATCAGAAAATAAACAACTTAAACATTAGTTAGAACAATTTCATACTAAATACCCCTTAAAAGATAAACTTGTTGAAGAACATATGTACTCCTTAGAATTAGTCAACCTAGTCAATATTTTCAAGCACAATCTGACAACACATATTTACCATTTAATTACCCTGTCATACCCAAGTCAAATTTAGTTGAGATCTCTTGTGTAATCAAATTTCCAGAAAAAACTCTTAGTATAGATGTCATGATAGATACATGAGCCAATAATCCATATATTGAACAACACATAGTTCCACCAGGATGGTGTACAACTTTAACAACCCCAACTTTAGTCAGTATAGTCGATGGCACTAAATAGACATATGCACATTGCATCAATGGAGCACAAATTAGTTTTCATCACATAGGCTCTCAAACTCAACATATAGAGTGGTTCTCTTTACCTCAAGTTTAGATTGACAATACTCGACAAAACCATCCATTTATATTAGGCCATGATTTCAGACTTAGTCTACAATGTGGCATGTTTATCAGCCATAGCAGCATTAGTTTCTTCAAAAGAACAGTACATACACCCACCACATATGCTCTCAGCACCATTGCCCATTCATCAGAGTTGCGTGCGAAGTGTGGTGGTACAATAGGAGTAGATCCAGTTCCTGCTAGTTTTTTATTTCCTAGTATAAACATTTTCCCTAAGTTAGCCCAAAAATATTTACCAAATGAAGAGATTGCAAATATTTCTTTAGAAAATTTAGACATAGAAGATGTTGAATTAGAAGAAAAATATGATTCTTGGAGTATAGAAGATTTCCAACAAATTGTTAACCTATAATTAATTTTTGAAAAAATAGGAAAACTAAAGAAAAAACCAGTATACAGAAGAACAGAAAATGATTTAGATGAAATAATAAGATTAGCTGAAACAACAGAAATTTTAGGAGAACAGCCCATGAAATATTGGGAAAGAAATAAAGTTTTAGCTAGTTTAGATATAAAAAATAAAGATTATAGGATTACATCAGCACAAATAGATCATACGCCAGCAGATATAGAAGAATTTAGAACACAGATTAAGGAATTATTAGATTTAGGAGTAATTCGACCTAGTAATAGCCCACATAGAAGCGCTGCATTTATGGTTAGAAATCATACAAAAATTAAAAAAAAAAATTAAAAAAAAAGGGAAAGCTAGAATTGTTATAAATTATAAAAGATTAAATGACAAAATAGAAGATGATAAATATAATATACCAGATAAAAATCAGCTCATAAATAGAATACAAACAGCGAAAATATTCAGCAAATTTGATTGAAAGTCAAGGTTTTGGCAAATCAAAACGGAAAAAGAAAGCATACATTGGACAGCCTTTTATTGCCCACAAGGACATTTTGAATAGCTAGTCATACCTTTTGGACTAAAAAATTCACCTTCCATATTTCAACGTAAGATGGATAATATAAAAGACACTGAGATTGTTCCAAAGGTTATCTAAAAAATACTATTCAACCGGGTCTAGCTCGGTTCCTGTTAATGGTTTGAATTTGTTTCTACCTTCATAAATGGGAAGAGCAAATCCCCCAAAGTTCATTGTTTTATTTTTCTCCATTATCTGCACAAAAATTAAACAGGTTATTTTCTTTTTCTAAATAAATTTTCCTACTTAGTCAATCTGTTAATTTATTATCACTCCCTTTAATATGTTCAAATTCTACTTTACATTCTTATCCTATTATACAATCTAAAAATTTTTCTCATCTTCTACTACTAAGTTTACGCTTATTAAGTTTATTATGAAATCTAACTATAGTTTCGCAGTTTGTTCTAATTGTAAAGGACTTGTGTAAAAATAATGTAAATTTGTTTATTGCATATACTATTCATAATATTTCAAAATCTAAGCTGGTCATGGTTGTATCTTTTTCTTTAAATTTTCCAAAACTATATCTACAAATAAGCTCTTTATTTTTACTATCATACTTGCTAGGTTTAGCTAATAGTACTGTTCTCCATCCTAATTGGCTTGCATCTGTTTCTATGACTATATATTCTGATTCTAAGAGAAGTTGTAGGCCGGGTAAATTTCTACAAATGTCTTTAATTTTTCTTACTGAAGCTATATCTTGTTGGTTAAAATATTTTTGTCCTGTGGGTGTGGTCTTCCTATATAGAGGTCATTTTATTTTACTAAGGTTAGGAATATACATTCGTACATAATTTAAAATTCCTAAAAATGATTGAAGTTGTTTTGTATCTTCTAATTTATCTGGGTAATCTAAAATTTTCTTAACTATGTGAGGTTATAGTCCGATTTTTTCATCTCCTAATTCCATTCCTAAAAATTCTATATGAGATTTATTTAATACCATTTTTCTCTTACTAATTATTATCCCATTGTTTATAAATTCTTCTAATACTATATATAGATGACTTATGTGACTATTTTTATCTGGGCTAAGTACTAATATGTCATCTATATATACCAGTATAAAATTATATTTATTAAATATATTATCCATCTTACATTGAAATATGAAAGGTACATTTTTTAGTCCACAAGGTATGACTAGCCATTCATAATGTCCTTGTGGGCAATAAAAGGCTGTCCAAGGTATGTTTTCCTTTTCCATTTTGATTTGCCAAAACCTTGACTTTCAATCAAATTTGCTGAATATTTTCGCTGTCTGTATTCTATTTATGAGCTGATCTTTATCTGGTATATTATATTTATCATCTTCTGTATTGTCATTTAATCTTTTATAATTTATAACAATTCTATCTTTCCCCCTTTTTATTTCTGCATGATTTCTAACCATAAATGCGGCACTCCTATGTGGAATTACTCCTAAATCTAATAATTCCTTAATCCGTGTTGTACATTCTTCTATATCTGCTGGCGTATGATCTATTTGTGTTAATGTAATCATATAATCTTTATTTTTTATATCTAAACTAGCTAAAATTTTATTTATTTCCTAATATTTTATGAGCTATTATCCTAAAATTTCTGTTGTTTTAACTAATCTTATTATTTCATCTAAATCATTTTCTATTATTCTGTATATTGGTTTTTTCTTCAATTTTCCTATTTTTGTAAAAATGAATTATAGTTTAACAATTTGTTGGAAATCTTCTATACTCTAAGAATCATATTTTTTTTCTAATTCAACATCTTCTATATTTTTTTATTCAAAATCTTCTATATCTAAATTTTTTAAAGAAGTGTTTACTATATTTTCATTTAGGAGTTGTTTTGGATGACCTAAATAAGTGTACTTTTTGTCTTTTTATGAAAAGATGTGCAAAAAAGTAGAGAAATGATATAATAAAAAAAGATAAAAAGACAAAAAGATGAATTATTTTGTAATAGCCAAACTTAATCTTAACATATATTTTTAAACTAATTCAGAAAAAATATTTCTATTAAAAAATAAAAAATTAGTGGGAACTGAATCTATTCCGATATAGCGCCACGTTTCCCACGCAACTCTGATATATGCGGTGTTTACTTTCTTTTATTCCCACTTACCCCCATTATAACCCACATCTTCATAACATAACCCATCTCCAAAATCAACCCTCTGCAAAATCCAGAACCAGAAAAAGTTTCAATGGAGAAATCTGGGTATGGCCGAGACGGCATTTTCAGATCTCTCAGACCCCCTCTGGTTCTTCCCAGAGACCCAAATCTCTCTATGGTCTCATTTCTCTTCAGAAACTCTTCTTCTTACCCTGAAAAACCCGCCCTCATCGACGCCGACTCAGGCGAAATCTTAACCTTTTCCCAATTCAAATCCATCGTCTCCAAGGTCTCTCATGGTTTGCTCAATCTGGGTATCAAGAAAAACGATGTTGTACTCATTTTCGCCCCAAATTCAATCCAATTCCCTGTTTGTTTCTTCGGAATCATCGCAATCGGCGCTATCGCAACTACTGTAAATCCTATGTACACAGTCTCTGAGCTTTCGAAACAAGTCAAAGATTGCAAACCAAAGCTTATCATCACTGTTTCTCAATTGTGGGAAAAAGTTAAAGGCTTTGGTTTACCATCTATTATTCTGGGTTCTGAAAAATCTGCTTCGATTGTTACGAACTCAAATTCGAAAGTTACATATTTTATTGATTTGATTAGGAGTGTTGGGTCGGTTTCAAATTTGCCTGAGGTTTCAATTAGATCAAATGATACAGCTGCTCTGTTGTATTCATCAGGGACAACAGGGACTAGTAAGGGTGTGATATTGAGTCATCGCAATTTCATTGCATCAGCTCAAATGGTGTCTGCGGATCAAGACTTCGCCGGCGAAATGCACAATGTGTATGTGTGTGTTTTGCCGATGTTTCATGTGTTTGGACTGGCAGTGATTATGTATGCACAGTTGCAGAGAGGCAATGCAATTGTGTCGGTTGGGAAGTTTGATTTGTCGATGGTTTTGAGGTCGGTTGAGAAGTATAGAGTGACTCATTTGTGGATTGTGCCTCCTATTATGCTTGCTCTGGCTAAGAACCCTGTGGTGAGGAAGTTTGATTTGTCGTCCTTGAGGCAAATTGGCTCCGGTGCAGCGCCTTTGGGGAAGGATTTGATGATGGAGTGTGCAAAGAATTTCCCTCAAGCTGTTGTCATACAGGTACTTTTTAAGGCGAAAATGAATGCTAAGTCAATTTAGTAGAATTCAATTATGAATTGTTGAAAGACTATTGTTAGTACCTAACTAATTGAATAAAAAATATTCACAATTATAAATGAAATGATTATAAAAATTAAAATTGTGTCATTAGTAAAAATTATTTTTGAGATATTTTTTTGGACAACACTTTATAGGTAACCAAGGTTTTGAAAAGCAGTCGCAACCATTATGTAACGGTTATGTGGTTACTGCCACTTGTTACAAACGTTATAGCGGTTTGACGGAAATTCACATGTGTAATAGCCGTTTCAGTATTACTTAACGGCTGTAGCGGTACCGTAACAGCCGTAAATGTCTGTTTCACACCTTTACACTCTTTTATAATATTCTGAATAACTTACTTTTTCAAAAAAAATAAAAATAAAAACTTACAAAAAAAACAACAAATACTCAAGTGATGCATGCCCAAAGAAAAAATCTTATATGAATTTATTTTCTTTATAATTTTTTTTTAAAATTTTATTTCATTACATTAGCATGTAAAATAAAAAAAATATAAACAGTAGTTGCATTTTTTTTTATAATCATTTTATTTAATATTTAATTATAAATATTTTTTATTTTGTTCAAAAATAATTTGTACACATTTAAAATGATTTATTCTTAAAGTCGTTAACTATTGAAATAAAATGTAAAAAACTCATTTTATAGTGATTTGAAAATATGAAATATATTGGATTATACTTAAAAATTAACAAAAATTGATCAAAATCTATTTTAAACCCTAATAAATGTGATTTTATAGGGGGGGAAAAAATGCGTATCGGTAAATTTTTTTCAAATTGTGCGGAAAAAAAAAAATCACGGTTCCGATTACCATAACCGCTTTTCGAAACCTTGATTGTTACTATTTAGTATTTAGTTATAATTTATGAATGTTTAATATGGTTCTTGTGGAGGGAAAAATTTCCTCACATTGTAGAGAACAAGATGATTCAGTACAAGCCTTTGAATCTCTAGAAAAATATACAAACATGAGAATTGCCTGACTGACTGATGTGTTTGGTCAGAAGGGTGCTCTGATGGGCAAGCCAGTGTACTTCCTTCTGGAATCAAGAGCACGAACTATGTTCTATATGTTTTTTTGTGTAGATAGTTTTTGTACCTTAGCCATATTCCTTCAATCCCTTTTGTACTGTTGAATGCCATCATTAGGTTTATGTTCCCTATGTGATATCTTTTTTAAGAAATGGCTCAGCCGCTATTTCCAACATGTCAATTGGTCTGATCAGTGATGTGCCCTTCACTGCCAATACTATCACCTTTGGTTTATTTGTTGTTACGTTGTTGGTTAGGGACTTTGGTCTTTTTATCCATACCTATGTTACCTAGATCGCGGATCGTTCTGATACATGAAATGGGAGCAGGAATTGGTAGAAGTAGAATTATATATATTACACTTAAGAATTTAAAGGACTTTTAAAGTAGCTTTCTTTTAACTATTAGGCATCCAATAATATATATATATTGATATTTTTGTCTTGTCAAAACTTAAGTCACTTTAGATTTTTGGTTCATTATATTTGATTTTTTTCTTTCCTAATGTAATATTTAAGGAAATATATTAGAAAACTTTTGAGATTGTTTCGAATCACTAAATTTACTGTTTTGGAATGAAAGTATACTATGTTTCGGAACTTGCGTACCAATAAGTAATTCGCTAGGGGATTAGGATTTTCTAGTAACACAAATCCAGACAAGCCCATTTGGTGCGCCTCTCCAGATCTGGCATTTCATTTTGGGTTGTTTATCATTTTTTTTTTTTTTTTTTTTTAATTCAAGTGAAAATGAGACAAGTAGTTAAGAGTTATACATAACAAACAAAACAAAACGGAGGAGGTAATCAGTCCCTCCTCGAGCTAGCAAAAACCATGTCTGCAATTAGGAAAGAAAAGACAAAGCTTTGGTGGATCTTCTTGGAAGACAAGGTGTTCTGTTTGGTTGGCTCCAATGTTGGCAAGCGCATCTGCACATTGATTTGCCTCTCTTGGAATGTGTTGAATGCTACAGTTGCACCTTCTCAGCATGAAATTTGCATCCTCAATCAGTGCTCTGTATAGAGATGTGCTTTCAACTCCATCCTTGATTAGCTTCATTGCTAACTGAGAATATATCTCAATTTCTATGTTAGCCATTCCTTTTTGCATTATGATTGTTAGTCCTCTGTATAGCCCCCAAAGTTCAGCTTTCAAACTCGTGCAATTTCCCAGATAGCCACGGTATCCCCACAACCAGGTGCCTACTTTATCACTCAGCAAGCCTCCATACCCAAATTGGTTTGGATCTCTTTTAGAACATCCATCAGTGTTCAGCTTTAGTTTCCCTGCAATAGGAGAAAGCCATTTAGTTAGTCTTGGCTCGCAATAATTTGGGTAGAGGCGGTTTTGATTAGCTTCCTGGATCTCTTGAGCCCGCTGTAGAATTTTGCTTGTACTGATGTGTATGGGTTGGGTTTGATTCGCAAACACTTCTTTATTCCTTTCTTTCCAGATGTTCCAGATGGCAGACAAGAAGATTGTTGACCATGGGATGTCAGCCAACATACCTTTGCTTTTCATGTTGGATTTTAACCACTCAGGCAGTGGTTTCCTGTCTTCTCTTTGCCACCAATTAAGATCTTTTAATTTGAGACAGATGTTTTTAGCTTTGGGGCATCCTCTTAGTACATGAATCATGTCTTCTCTTTCAGTTTGGCATCTGTGGCAAATGTCTGAATCTGCAAGATTTCTTGTAAGTCTCATATGATTTGTGAGGAGCCTTCCATGCATGACCAGCTAGAGGAAGCTTTTTAGCCTCATATCCATTGCCAATCCAATCCGTTCTCTTCCTGTTTGGGGTTGTTTGGGGTGTCCTAAATAAGTGTACTTTTTGTCTTTTTGGACTAAAAAATTGAGGAAGAAAATATAGATGTTTTGGTTAACTTTTTGACTTTTTATGGAAAAATGTGTAATAAAAAATTGTAAAAATTGGTTTGTAGGAGAAAATTAGGATTGAGAGTTGTGCAGCCGTAATTGTTGACTTTTGGTGAATAGTGTTAACTTTTCAACTTTTTGAGTAACTTTTTGGCTTTTTGGATTTTCCTGGACATGCCAAACTTGGCCTTAGTGATGGCATTATATGCTACTGAAGTAGAAAAGTTACCATTGGCAGTCCCTTGCCTTGTAGGGGTATCCATTAAAGTCACAAACTTGGGTCTGTAGATGCTCAGAATGTTGTCTTTGTCTTGTTGGGAAATCAGGTGTTGGATTGGGGTCAGGTCCCATCTGCCTTCTATCATCTAAAATAGAGCTAATTTTGTTGTGCAATCAATGTGAGGCCCTTGATTGTTGTTACATTGTGGCTGTATGTATGCCACACCACCAATCAGTCCAAAGTGATATATTCTCCCCATTCCCCACATTCCATTTGATATTATTCTCCAAAATCTCCCTGTTTCTAATTATGCTTTTCCACGTGTGTGATGCTTTTCTCTTTATGGGCCAACTGGAAATGGAGTGCTTCCTTAGGTGCTTTGAGTGAAGGATTTTGCACCAAAGGTTATCAGCTTCACTAGCAACTTTCCAACCCAATTTTGAGATTAAGGCAGAGTTCTGCTCTCTAGTTCTCCAAATACCCAGACCATCATTTCTTTTACTTTTGCAAACTTGATTCCAATTTACCAGGTGAACTTTCCTAACTCTGTTAGTACTTCCCCAAATAAAGTTTCTATTCAAGCTGTCAATTTTGTCACACACATTCCTAGGTAGGTCCATAGTTTGCATGAGATGATTTGGAATGGCAGAGGTGACAGACTTCACTAGGGTAATTCTACCAGCTAGGGAGAGATTTTTAGCCTTCGATCCAGACAACCTGCTAGTTATTTTCTCAATGATGTCTTTTATGTGGTTTTTGTTTACTCTGCCATGTAGCAAAGGAGTTCCAAAGTACTTACCTAGTTCATCAGTTAGGGATATACCACATTGATAGCTAGAGGGAGAGCTTCTCTTCTGGTGATGTTAGGGGAAACAAAGATTTTGGATTTTTGGAAGTTAATCTTCTGGCCAGATAACTCACAAAATTCATTCAGAACTTCCATAATGCACTCACAGTTCCTTCTGTTAGCTTGGCAAACAGGATTAGGTCATCAGTAAAGAACAGATGAGAGATAGGGGTACTATGTTTGGCTGCTTTCAGGCCTTTCCAAACCCCACTCTCAGTTTTGTTCTGATCATGTTAGATAGATTCTTCGTGCAAAGCACAAACAAATAAGGGGATAGGAGATCCCCTTGTCTAAGACCCCTCCCAACACTGATGTTGGGGAGGGCCTCACCATTTCAAATAATAGAAGAATTGACATTTGAAACACAATTCATAATGAAAGTAATCCAATCTGAGTTAAGATTAAAATTTTTGAGAGTATGTCGGACAAAATCCCAAGAAATGCAATCATAAGCTTTTTCAAGGTCAATCTTAAGAACCACACCACCAGTTTTACCTTTCACATTTCTAAGGGTATGAATAATTTCCTGAGTTTAGGATAATATTATCAGTGGTAGTTCTACCTGGGATGAAGCTACTTTGGTTGGGGCTGATAAGGTCAGAGAGGGGCCTGATTCTATTAACAATGATTTGTAGGTCACATTGCACAAGCTTATGGGTCTAAATTGCTTAATAGTCTCAGGATTATTCAGCTTGGGCATTAAAACAATTTGAGTTTCATTGACCTCCTTAGGGATGCTCTTGTTAGAAAAACATTGTTGGACAAAGTTGCATGTAGAAGGTCCCACAATATTCCAGTTTTTATGATAGAAAACAGCTTGCAATCCATCCTTTCCAGGTGCTTTAAAGGCTTTTATGTTTTTAATGGCATTCCAAATTTCATGATTGGATATGGGGGGGCTTGAAGTTTATCATTATCTTCTCTAGTGAATCTAGTGTTTTTGGGCTTTTTGTCTATGCTGATCTGGTCCTAGTTAAGATTTTTCTACCCACCACAGTTCTTATGAATGACTATGCAGCACAGTTTCGTTGAGGCACTTGTGAAGTATAAACTGTGTGCTCTTGGACGTTTGCATTTGTATCTTTGTTTGAGTTAGTTTGTTTAAACTTAGAATTCATTTTGGAGTTCCAAATTCCCCTCATGCTTTAGCAACCAAATAAAAATTTGAAAAGAGGTTTTCAACAGTTTTGCAGAAGACTTTTCATACTCTTTATCTTCCAAAAAATTATATATTGAGTGTGTAAAACACGGAAAGACTTCTCCACTGGCCTTCAAAATCATCACATTGTGGCCATATTGAAGATGTCATTAACTAGAATTATTCTTGAGGCTGGTGCTTATTATACTTCAAAATAGAACAATACTTGTAAAGATAGTTTGATTTTTCCTCAATTACAGAAAGTCTCAACAATCTTCAAACTTTAGTGAAAATAACTTCTTTGGTTGATATTAAAGGTCTTACTTCATGATTAGTAGCTTGGGATTGTAAATTGGCTTCTAATATAAAAAGAACTCTTCATTTCAGGGCTTTGGTATGACGGAAACTTGTGGAATTGTTTCAGTTGAGAATCCAAGAGTAGGTCCTCGACATTCTGGTTCAGCTGGAATGCTTGTCCCAGGAGTGGAATCCCAAATAGTCAGTGTAGATACTCTAAAGCCTCTTCCTCCTAATCAGTTGGGGGAAATATGGGTTCGAGGAGCTAACATGATGCAAGGTATGGTGTTGCTTATTTTTGCCTGTATGATATTTCCTTTTGGTCTTCAGAATGCAAGTATCCATATAATTCAAAAAAGAAGAAAAAAAAAATGGAAAAAAGTGAGATTAAAATTTGTTTTGCTGAATAGTTGTCTTCTCAATTTTATAGTAGGGAAGTTGAGGAGAGTACATGGATGACAAAATCAGATGGTTACAATGGTCTAATGTCATGGGAAGGGAATTTTTTCCATATGGTGAGAGAAGTGATGCAACGTGGCTGTCACAGAATTTTGTATTCCTATATGGATGGATGGATAAGATATCTGATGTTTTGTTTTTTTCTTTTCTTTTCTTTTTGTATTGATGAGGAGTTGGAGATAGAGAGAGATGGAGACAGAGAGGTGATCAGAGAGGATAGAAGAGAGAGATTTAGGTGAGGATAAGAATATGCGATAAGAAACAGAAAGAGAGAAAACAAAGGAGGGAAGGAGGAGAATGAAAGAAGAAGAATTGAGAGAGAGAGAGAGAGAGAGAGAGAAAATTACAGCTCTTCCAAACATTTCTTTTATTCATTCCCCAAGAATTCATTCGCTTTTATCTTAAAAGGCCTTACAAACCCCTAATGACAATTATTTACCATATTAAAATCCTAAAAATATCTAAATGTAAGAAAAAAACAATACAATTAAACAAGTCTTAACTCTAATAACTTAATGACAATCTCTGTGTCGACCTTGTATTATTCCCTTCTTGTTGGAGAAAACTTGGACTCTAGTTTCATGGATTTTTATGCTTGTCACCTTAGTAGTGTCTTGATGTCTCCAATGGATCTTATGCTCTAGTACCGAACTAAAGAAGAGGGAGAGAGAGAGAGCAAAGCTCTTCACAATGTTTCAACTTTCGCTCATTCTCTAAGACCTAATCTGTTTTTCTCCCAAGAGGTCAGGCCTTACAACACCATAATAACAAGTAATTACATAAAAAACTACCTTTATTCCAGTAGTTCATTTCTGCCTCTTTTTCTTTCTTTTTTTCTTTTTTTAAATCTAAAAATAAGAAAATACTAAAATATGATTTAAAATCTCAATTAGTAACATGTGAACTTCGCATCGACTAGGCCATATCATAATTGCTGGTTTTCATCTTAGAAGAGATGTTAATGATGCCAGTCTTTAGGTCCTAAGAGATATACACTGTAACAGAGCATACTCATTTGGTTGCTGAGGAAAGCAGAATGGTGCTATATGATGTGCCAATGGAAATATAATGCAAGTACCGAATGCTTTAATTTTGCAAGGTGGCCAATATTGTGTTTGGTAATTCTGTTTAGTGCCGCTATCATTGAAGGTCCTTTTTGAGCAAGAGCCTCTTGGATGAGATGCTGCAGGAGAACTTTTTTCTTTTCTTTTCTTCTCTGATGTACTGTTTATTGCCTTGCAAGCACAGTGTTTTTCTTTTCGGATGGTTGTTAACAAGTTACAATACTAGTGGTGGTTGATGGTACAGTGTATTGCTTTTTTCTTCTCTCTTTTTGAGTTGTTTCTCACAAGACCCACATGTGCATGAGATCATTTTAACAGTTGCTAATTGTTACCTTTCTTTCTTCTAATTGCATTCCACCGCTGTTTTGCTTGCAGGCTCAAGCCATTTGTTTCGTATTAACTTCAAGAAGATCTAATGCCATTTTAAAATTCATTTTCAGGTTATTTTAACAATCCACAAGCCACCAAACTCACTATAGATAAGCAGGGTTGGGTACATACAGGAGATCTTGGATATTTTGATGAGGATGGACAACTTTTTGTCGTTGACCGAATTAAAGAGCTCATCAAGTACAAAGGATTCCAGGTAACTTGTTTAACTATAACTTATGTAGCATTCTTCGTTCAGTAGTTTTTTTTTTCCCTAGTTTTTTCTTACAAATATTTTATGTCCTCTTTATCTCATTTGAAGGAGCAAGAAGTCCTGCAATTAATAAATTTGCTGAGTGCTTCTTGTCTTGAGTAGGATTGTTCTCTTATACATGCTTCTTGTATTTTAAATTTTATGTTATCCTCCTAGAAAACTTCACAAGAGTGAAAACATGGAAGCACGTGAGGATCCTGTTTTTATTTCCTTTGTTGATTCTTGCTAGGTTGCACCAGCAGAACTTGAAGGGCTGCTTGTTTCTCACTCTGAAATATTAGATGCTGTTGTCATTCCGTGAGTATACATACTAAATTTTCTACTAAAATATCTCATCTCTCTTGAAAAATTATATTAACCTCCATCTTGTAAAGACCTCATTGAAGCTTAAGGACTCTTCTTCCGTGTAGGTTTCCTGATGCTGAAGCTGGTGAGGTCCCAATTGCATATGTTGTCCGCTCTCCCAACAGTTCACTGACTGAAGAAGATGTGCGGAAATTTATTGCAGACCAGGTAGGGTTACAGAAAAATGATCAATCATTCTTAAATAGAAGATCAAGTGCCCAACTCTAAATTTCTAGTGATCTTTAGAAAGATTTCTTCAGGGATTTGCCATAACCTGAAAATTAGCCTATTGCATAACAGTAAATAAAATGTTGTTTGACAAAATATTTGTTCAGCTTTCACTACCGTGTCTGATACCATTTTACCAATCAGCTATGAAGCATGGATACAGATATAGATTTGGGATACATATACAATATGATATGGATATGTCGATATGACAAATCATTCAAAAATAAGATGTGGGTACAGCCAAGATCCAATCATAATATATACACACACATATACTTAAGCTCAAAGAATGGTGAGAAACAAATTTGAGGAATCAGGTTCTATATATAATTTTAAGTGAGCATGTCTTCTTCCATAACCAATCATTTGCCCGGATGGTATTAGATGAGTGCTGACCAACATTGAATGGATGATCCTCTGCTCAATTTTTTGCCTTGTGACAAAAAAGAATGCCAGTTCAGTTTCTAATTATTGTTTCGTTTGTTTGACTATGATCACAGAGAAGCCTAGAAAGTGTAATGCTTTGGCGTTCAAATTCTGTGGATCTTGTTTTTGTTCTTTATTATGGCTGTTATTAACCAATTTCTTTTCTTGCCAATTCAAAGGAAACCAACATGCTAAATTGTATTCAATATTTGTGTGTTGTTCAGGTTGCACCATTCAAAAGATTGCGGAGGGTAACATTTGTAAACAGTGTTCCAAAATCAGCTTCGGGGAAAATCCTCAGAAGAGAGCTCATAGAGAAAAATCGATCCAAGCTGTAAGGTTGTTTCAATTTTGTATGAAACTCACAAATATACCCTGTGCTTGCTTATAATTCTTGAAGGTGCTCTTTTATATCCAAGTTTGGACCTATTTTTTTAAAGATTGAGTATGATAATGTGTAAGTCTCCAATAGATACTATTTGAAATTCAATAAATCTGGTAATCCAGATTTATCAAAGTGGTTGTATGGTAGAGATTAAATTTGTGTAGGGTAAGATCTATATGTAGAATAAATCTGAACCATAAGATGATAATTTTAGATAATTTCTGGATAGTTAAGTCTGAATTTGTAATATTACTATTTGAAATTTGTTATTTTGAATAAACATCATCTCATTTCTTGTACTTTCTAATTTCCACCACCACCACACCTATCTCAACCTAAGACACCAACACCACAAACACCATCTTTAACACATCACCATTATCATAATTACCACCATTCTTTCATTATCATCGTCGTCTCTATTGTTACCGTCACCTATTTCTCTCTATAACACAACCACTACAATGACAATCACTCCACAACCACCGCCCAGCACTACCAGAACACTGCAACTACACCACTACAAAACAATCATTGTTGTCATTACACAATCACCATTATTGGCATCATCATCATTATCATTACATCACTCCACCATTCTACCAACTTCAACACTACACTAGTACCACTATCGAGGACACTTATTGTTAAAGAACAACCAAATGTCTTCACAGAAACTCTGGAACAAGCCAGTACCCGATATGCAGAGTTTCAACGGCGAACGGAAGGTGGTGAAAGGAGGAGATCAAAACCACAACTTCATCGCTGGAGTTATGTGCTTCATTGGCCTGTCATTGATTATAAAATCAGGATTCTTCAGGTCCAATTTACAGGTAATCTGATTGTGTGACCAATATTTCATAGGGTCTTCGCCTATGATTCTACAAGTCTTGAGCTGCTCCATTAACTTCTCAAAATGTTGCTCAAAATGAGGACTGATATTAGTGGAATGAAATAGTCATTCTGATGAAGGCTCATAATAATGATCCACTGTTAAATCTTCCTCTTCTTCAAGTCCTTCCAGAAGATTTACTGACTGACGGGTCTGAATTGTTATTACATTCTTGTAGAATGTAACATTGTCTCCTTCGATCCGTACGCCTCCATACATTGCTCGAATGAAGTTGCACCCGATAATCATCTGGATTCTTCCTCCAAGGTGGAATGGGAAACTGTATGTATAAGGGATTCGAAACCAATTATCCCCTATATACATTTTTCCACCCTTCAATTTCTTATTTGCCTTTGACTTTGAATTTATACCATTGAACTCAACAGTATATGTGTTTTCTTCCAAGGCTTCAGCTGGGACGGATTCAGAGTCTACGACGCAAGTTGTTGCTCCTGTATCAAGAATTGCGTGTAGTGGGATCTTCTGTAATCCTGGAATTTCTAGTTCCACCTGTCATCATTCCGGATGTCACATAAATTGCGAGTTATGAAATTCAAGGAGTAACTGAATTTCTTACATCTCGAGGAGTCAAAGCTATCCCAGGAGAACAAGTTCCCACTGACGTCTTACGAGGTCGCAACTGGATTATACGACCACCAGCCAGAAGGGTACATCCTCAACAACCAACAACTGCTGTTTCTCGCAATTTGCCAGGTGGCAATTTCAGCTTGCGATTCGGTGATTATGTAGCTGCTCAACGTGCAGACCCAGTTCATTATGATTCACATGATAATGAAATTATGCAATCGGACGATGACACTCAGTCTATCCAGAATGAATCCAGTAATCGACAAGAAACATTGTTATTCTTTGAAGAACAACCAAATGTCTTCACAGAAACTCTGGAACAAGCCAGTACCCGATATGCAGAGTTTCAACGGCGAACGGAAGGTGGTGAAAGGAGGAGATCAAAACCACAACCGGAAACTGATTCTGATGCTGAATCATCCTATCCTCCACAACGGTCTAGACGACAGAAGCAGAAGGACAAGAAGGAAAAACTTTGTCGGACCTGCTATCCAATGAGTGAATATGAAGGATTTGATGCTGTTCAATTCATCAAAATGTTACCGCAAGCGACCAGACCAACTCGAGCAACGGATGGAGCCGTCGGTTATGATTTAACATCAATAGCCATGTATGTTATTCCAGCTCAAGGAAGAATGTTAATTTCCACTGGTATAGCCATGGAAATACCCTGTGGTCTTTATGGTCGAATTGCCCCAAGATCTGGGCTTGCTTTAATACATGGGATAGATGTCGGCGCAGGAGTAATTGATCCTGATTACAGAGGAGAAGTTAAAGTGCTTCTTTTTAATCACAATCAGGAGGAATTCATAGTTCGTGCCGGTGACAGAATTGCTCAGATAATCTTTGAGAAGGTTTCCTTACCAAGAATGGTGGAGAAAGATGCTCGCAATCTACGTGACATCCGGAATGATGACAGGAATGATGCTCGCAACTGGAGGAGCACTGAAGGATTTGGAAGTACGGGGAAAACTGCTTTGGAGTATAGACGTGAAGACTCAGACTCTGACTCTACGCTCAATATTATCGCTATGATGGAGGAAGAAGCAGAAACAGAATACCCGCAGATCACGAAGTTGAAGGCCTTGATTGAAAAGAGACAACAACAGCCTCAGTATCTTTTATCCTCATCATCAGCCGTCACCTCTCATTATAATCCTCCACAGGATTCAATGATGGGACCCCCAGGCTATCCACCAGCAACGGGACATGGTCCTTCCATTAACATTCCTGAAAGACCTTCTTATACAGGATTACGATCAAATTTTCGACGGGGAGCTAAAGACGAAATGTGGAATTTACCATCCGCCATGCATCATACAGGAGCTATGTTTGTCATTCCACAATCTCTTGGAAGATTTGATGATGCCTTCATGAGATGGGAATCAATCACAAGGTCTTATGTTGCTTCTCAAGGATTTACAGATGTTCGAGATAAACTCTTGTTTATGGAGAATCTCCTTGGAGAAACGGAGAAGTTAATCTGGACACAATGGCGAATGAGATATGCAGATGAATATGCTAATCTTGTTGCCATAGGCGATGGGAATGAAGGTACGCAAAACATCATTTCTCAAATGAGAACGGTGTTTACCTTGGAAGATCCTTATCAAGGTTCAACCCTGATGCAAGAGGAAGCTTATCGAGATCTTGAAAGGCTTTCATGCAAGGATGTAAAGGATATCATAAAGTTTTTAAATGATTATCTACATCTTGCAACAAAGTCAGGAAGATTATTTGTTGGAGAAGAATTATCCTCTAAGCTTTGGTCAAAAATGCCAGGTGACCTTGGTGAAAGAATCAAGAAAGGATTTGCAGAACGACATGGAGCAAATACAATTGGCGTCGTTCCTCGAATTCTTTATGCATATAAATATTTGGAAGCCGAATGCGAGAACGCGGCATTTCAAAAGTCACTTCGAAATCTGGACTTCTGCAGGGAGATTCCTATCCCTGGATACTATAAGGAACCAGAGAAGAAGTATGGTGTTCGAAAGGCTACCACCTACAAAGGAAAGCCACATAGTTCTCATGTCAGAATTGACAAGAGAAAGTATTTGCAAAAGTCAAAACATTGCAAATGCTATTTATGTGGAGAAGAAGGACATTATGCCAGAGATTGCACGAAGGAAAAGAAGAATGTCAAGAGAGTAGCTGTATTCGAAAATTTGAGCATTCCTGAAGACTATGATGTTATGTCTGTAGAACCAGGTGATGATGACTTAGATGCAATCTATTCGGTATCAGAAGGGCTTGATGATACTGAACAAATTGGAGGAGGTTTAACAGAAACAATCTATATGCTTCGAGAAGCTGATAAATCTTATTGGCTTGGCAAGGAAGGAGGATACAGGGCTCAAATCAAGGTCTCTCCAGAAATTTACCACTGTCAACATGAATGGGATCAGCAAAACCCATTACCAGAAGACAGGAGACCAGGATGTACCACATGCAAGAGAGATTTATCCTCATACTCGAAGGCTTTCTGCAACAAATGTAATGCTTTAACATGCGCACTATGTGCCAAGCATTACTTCAACCTCACAACGTTCATCACTAAAAAGGCTCCAATCCCTTACAATCAAAAGCCATTGTTACAAGAGCAACAAGAGTACATCCGGTGGTGTGAAGCTGAAATGAAGAGGCTCCGGGAAGAAGCCATTCAATACAAGACAGAGCTTGAGGAACTCAAGTTAATTATTCAGCTACAGGATGATGAACGAGAACTAAGAAGAAAAGGGAAGTATAAAGAAGATGAACTTCTGAATTTGGAGAAAGAAGCTGAAGAAGCTGAAGCAGCCGCAGTTCATGTTCATTTTGAAGAAGTTCCACCAGAAAAAGTTCTTGCTATTGAAGAAGTTGTAGCAGAAGGAGAATTAAAGGAGAAAAAGAAAAACATGCTCTACAATCTCACCGTGGAACTAGAAATTCCAGGATTACAGAAGATCCCACTACACGCAATTCTTGATACAGGAGCAACAACTTGCGTCGTAGACTCTGAATCCGTCCCAGCTGAAGCCTTGGAAGAAAACACATATACTGTTGAGTTCAATGATATAAATTCAAAGTCAAAGGCAAATAAGAAATTGAAGGGTGGAAAAATGTATATAGGGGATAATTGGTTTCGAATCCCTTATACATATAGCTTCCCATTCCACCTTGGAGGAAGAATCCAGATGATTATCGGGTGCAACTTCATTCGAGCAATGTATGGAGGCGTACGGATCGAAGGAGACAATGTTACATTCTACAAGAATGTAATAACAATTCAGACCCGTCAGTCAGTAAATCTTCTGGAAGGACTTGAAGAAGAGGAAGATTTAACAGTGGATCATTATTATGAGCCTTCATCAGAATGGCTATTTCATTCCACTAATATCAGTCCTCATTTTGAGCAACATTTTGAGAAGTTAATGGAGCAGCTCAAGACTTGTGGAATCATAGGCGAAGACCCTATGAAATATTGGTCACATAATCAGATTACCTGTAAATTGGACCTGAAGAATCCTGATTTTATAATCAATGACAGGCCAATGAAGCACATAACTCCAGCGATGAAGGAGAGTTTCAAGAAACATATTGAGCAGCTTTTACAACTTAAGGTAATCCGGCCAAGCAAAAGTCGACATCGTACCACGGCGTTCATCGTAAATTCTGGTACGTATATTGATCCAGTCACGAAGGAAGAAAAGCGTGGCAAGGAAAGAATGGTGTGCAATTACAAAAGGCTAAATGACAACACCCATAAGGATC